GTTGTCGCGTGTACCGACCATAACCCGACAGCCTCGCGTGGTAACTATGTTGAATATGAGCCGGAAAGCCCATGTTTTTCATTAGACTTTGATATACTGTAAAAAATGAATGAATACCAAAATGAAGGCGTTTTATAGATTTGGACGACAACTACGCGATGACGCACTAATCAGTATTTAAGTTCAAACCCATGGGGAAACACGTGGTAGACCCACGCTGTAGCTACATTATGACTGCAGCACCAATAGGTCGGCTCGACCGCGCAGAGTCCACGCTCTCCTAGAATAAAAAAATATCAGCGTTTATAGCAAGCTGCTATACAACGCTGATATTTTTTTTTTGCTTGCTTGTTGGGCTATGCTCGGGGTTTCACTGCGTGATAAACTTAGAAATGAGGTTATCCGCAGTAGAACCAGAGTGACCGACATAGCCCAACGGATTAGTAAGCTGAAGTGGCAATGGGCCGGCCATATAGCTCGAAGAACCGACAACCGTTGGGGAAAAAAGGTTCTCGATTGGGAGCCTCGTACCGGTAGGCGTAGTGTAGGGCGACCCCCCGCTAGATGGAGTGACGACCTGGTAAGACATACAGGAAGTCGATGGATGCAGGTGGCTCAGGACCGTGCTTTGTGGCATACTTTAGGGGAGGCCTATGTTCAGCCGTGGACTTGTGAAGGGCTGTAATGATGATGATGATGATGATAGCAGCTTAATGTTGCTGTGCTTCGTATGGTAAGTGTAGAGAACCGGGGAACATTTTTGCTGGAAACGAGGCATTCCATCTTATTCCTTAGGGATGACAAGGTTGATTCACAAGACAAGGGTGACAGGGTTAATTCTTAATAGAGGATTGATGTGTAATTTCTGTGGTCCACAGTATCCACTTACTATCTTGTGGACTGTATTCACGTTTGTCACTCTCATTCATTAAAACAAATGTCGGATGACATTTGGCAATAGTTCCCGTTTTCGGACACAACCACAAGGTTTGAACAAAACACAAGTAGCAAACCAAAACACCATTTCCCCCAAACAAAAACGGGGGGCCCCCCCCCAATATAAAAAATTTTTTTTAAAAAACAAAAAAACCCACCAAAAAAAAATTAAAAAAAAAAAAAAAATTTTTAAAAAACAAAATATTAAAAAAAAAAAAAAAAAAAAAAAAAAAAAAAAAACAAAAAAAAAAAAAAAAAAAAAAAAACCATTGATTCATGTCAATGTGTTACAGTGTGTACCTACTACACACTATGTTCAAAACCACATATAAACAATTTCATTTAAATGCCAGGTAATTCTATTACGTTCATTGCCAATGGGCCTGATAATGCATTTACACGTGCCAACAGTTCGCCGATCTAGATTAATTTATACACGGTTGGATACGGGTGTTAAAGTTCTCGATAGTACATGCCAATAGATATGAAATGATCCGATTTAATAGTTTGCAACCCAGACTTCTTTCCATAAATAATTTTAATTAAATTTAAAAGCAAAATTATTTTAATTAGCAAATTTTTTTTTACTAGACTATAAGAAATTGCATATACAATAGTTAATAGTGTAATTGGCCGTAATTATATGAGAACAATGCAGTGATTCTTTATTGATAATATACTAGCAATAATATTAAATGTCAAAGTCAAAACTTTTTATTAAATTTAGGAATCAACTATTCCATATCGTCCTGAGGGTGTCGTAAGAGGCGACAGAAGACAGGGAAAGTGAATCAGGAGATGGGAAGCAGCATTTTTTATAGGATAGTGACAACCGAGCACAAACGAGACATCTGCATCTATCCTCGATTACGAATCAAAATGCAGACGCGTTGTTACCCGTGAGGACTAAGATGGAATGTCTCGTTTCCAGTAAAAAGGGTCTCCGGTTCTCCACACTCACCATACGAAACACAGCAGCATTAGGCTAATATTTGACGCTGGTATTCTGTCGTGAGAGCGTGGTCCTTCCCAGGTCGAGCCGACCCATTCGTGCTATAACTATACTATATCTCTCGAAGTAAGAAAAAACTGCGGTTGACAACCCGCTTGCAAAGCGTGGCAACTATGGCAAAATTCCCCCATGACGCAATCTATGATGGAGACTTATGTTCGGCAGTGGACTTTTATAGAATGTAATGGAAGGATATATTTAGGTTTGTTTAAAGCTCATATGAACCTTGAAATCTAAACCAAATTGAGATATGATGATATATCTTACGTTAATCATCGTTGATGATCGGTCGTATGCACGACTGTTGATTTTGATATTCTGGGATCGAAGTCGACCATGTAAGCCCGTTAACAAGTAAAGCCTCGCTCCACGAGGCGCATACACTTGGGCACTATAATCCTGTCCGGCACAGTGTCCGCCGTGGCCGAAATTAGGTCTGGAGGACATTATTATTATTATTTGTATGCTTTTCTTTTAAACAATTACACTGAAGAAGTAGAGAAACAGAATTACAACATTTTTTTAATTTATGTATACAAATACAAAGGCTACAGAAGCCGTGGTCTTTGTTTTTACGTTTGTAAAAAAATAATAACGGCGCCGATCGTAATATGAAAATGATAAGAACAGAAGGAATACGTAGACGTAATAACGCATGCCTTTGTATGCTAACCCGGTTGTTGCAACCTTGTACTCGTCCAGTGACACTAATGGCTAGATACTTAGCTTAATGGATGGTGGAAAATTAAACGCAATAGATATAACGGTTTACTCTCGATCATAGTAAAGAGACCGTTGATGAGATTCAGAAACCTATACATAGTTTATATATAACTATATAGAGTACTAGCTTGCCAGGCAGACGTTGTTCTGCCCTTTTCGACGACCCTTTGTCATGTCCTATTAAAAATTCTTAAATTCGCAAAAAAATTGTGGTTCACATGGGTTAAAAAAAACTATCCTAGTTGGGTATCAAGTTTGGTCAAACTGCACACGGTGTGCAAATTTGATTAAAATCGGTTGAGTAGTTTAGGAGTCCACCGCGGACAAACAACGTGACACGTAATTTATATACAGTGTGTCCGGTCACGGACTAGCGATATTTTATGTACTTATAATACAGCTATTTTAATATAAAAATACACTACACACTGCGGTCTAACCCCCTCCCCCTCTATTTGGCAGCCATTTTGTTTTTCTCTTGAGATATTCTCTACGCGTTTACGAAAAAAGTCATATCTCTCAAAGTTTTAGTCCTACTGAGATAAAAATTAACTCATTCAGGCCAATATTATTGTTTATCGTTTACATTATCAAAATTTTTGTTGACATACTTGTAACTATGAAGAAAAAAATTTAACTTCAAAGTATAAATATCAAAAAAATATGCTAATCGGCAAATTATTGTAAATTACTGCAAAAACAACCCCGTTTACCCTTCTTATTTTTATACTAGATCGACAGATTTTGAGTTAGGCTACAATACAACATAAAGTTTACAGCTGTATCTTTATTACTTTAAGAATTATTGTTGTTTGAACATGGCGTATGCCCAAACACAAAAGGCCTTTGTTAAATGACAACTGGCACTGCCATCAGTAGGACTAAAACTTTGAGAGATATGACTTTTTTCGTAAACGCGTAGAGAATATCTCAAGAGAAAAACAAAATGGCTGCCAAATAGAGGGGGAGGGGATTAGACCTCAGTGTGTGTATATATAAAATAGCTGTATTATAAGTACCTAAAATATCCTAGTCCGTGACCGGACACACTGTATATTAAGATTCATGTGTTTTAAAGTTGATAAGGTTTTTGTAATAAAATGTCAAACATAACATCATCTCTCATTCCACATGAACCCACAAAGCTCTCAGTTAAATTGAAATTTAACCGATAATATATGATAAGAAGACGAGTATCCAAACTAAGTACCTATGATGATATTGCACAAAACATTTCTTCTCCAGAACAATTTAACAAAAGAAAAGATAATAAAAAATAATAAATTGCCAAATATTGATAGTAAATGGCAGCGTAGGAGAAATCATCACCACATCCCATTTCATAGGTGTCGTAAGAGACGGTTTAGGATAGGCCTTGATCTTGTGACTTCTTAAGCTTGGCGGAATAATCAATAATCATCTCATTTTTATTGCAGATATAAATAAATAATAATAAGTGTGGTACTGCAATCTTCCATATACCTGCCAGCGTGGCACGATGCAACGAACGAGCACACGCTTCTCCTGATGGTAAGGGGATGCTGTGGCCCATACACATCTACATCTGCATTAGATTACAAAGCAAAATCTAGATTCGTTGTCACGCCTGAGGACTAAAGTAGAATATCTCGTTATCATCGATAAGTCTCCGGTTCCCTACACTTATCATACGAAACACAGCAGCATATGATGCTATCTTACGTTAGTATTCGGTAAGAATGCGGCCCTTCCCCGGTCGAGCTGACTTTTGTATTACAACCATAGTATAGCTGAAGCATTACTTTACCCTGTATTATATAGCTAATATCGGAGTTCATTGCCATCACTAGACTAACCTTTATTTTTTTTTAAATATATCTACAGTTTTAAATCACAAAAACAACGGAAAGAAAAAACTATGCATAATAAGAATTTATATTTAATTTTAAGTTATCTGAATATGGGTTGCTCTGGCAAACCCGACCATCATTGACTCACATATTTAAAGGGAAATCCACGTACAGTCATAAGCAACTATAATCTAAGGGAAGTAGGTATTTGACATGAGACCGGACATTCTTCATAGACCACTTTTTTCGGAAATATTATAATTTATTTACAGCGGTTAATCATTAACTGGACATTACTGAGAAATAAGATTTAATCTATATTTTAAATGGTGACGAATCCGTATGATATAACGAAAAGAGAGTCAAAAATTCCTGGAGAATACATTGTTAAATTAGAAGCACAATGTTTATCCTCTCAGCCATCTTAAATGATTTTTGAAAATCGTAATGTATTGATGGCCTAAATGATCAAGAAAACAATATTATTAAATTTCACTCACCCAAGTATAACAAGTTCGCCATATTTGACAAGCGGTTTTGGCTTCTGTTCGGAGCCACTCTCACCGGCCTCCTCCAGTATCGGCGAGTCCGCACTGTCCGCAGCACTGCAAAAAATTAATACCGTTAGGAAAATACAAATCAAGTTAGTTGTACACTTAGATTAAATTTCCTTAATTAAAAATTCAGTGAAGATCACGTTTTGTAGTTTTGAATTTATGTTTCGCCTGGAATTGTTTTTTTTTAATAACAGCATTTTATCGCTTCTCAGTTATGATTGCGATCGAGCTATAACCGCATTCATCTCATTCGGTGAATTTCATTTACTGATAAATGGCAGTTACCCCCACCACGTGAATATGCGTGGTGGTGACAGGGAGAAACGTCCAAGGCTCGAAAGACATCAGGTATTGTGATCGTTATTTTGTCTGCTAGATGTGGTTTTAGAAAGACCCGTATACTATAAGAGGTTTACGTCCTGAATTGGGATATATTTTACTTTTCGACCGGTTCAGCTGTAAAGCTGAACCGGTCAAAAAGTAAAAGCTAGCAAGCTTTTTAAAGTAGTTTTTAATAATACCAATAGTTAGCACGATCACGAACTTTTAATTTTATAAGAGGAAAGAGGTTGAGATCATGAGCAAACAAGATAAATGTTGAACACCTAAAATCAAGGTTGCTATTAGCACAGATTACTTAAAATCCGGAATAGACTTATTTGCATACGAATACGTTAATAGTATCAAAGAACAATCTTGAATGAGACATATTTCAGGCATCTTATAGTGATTTTATAACTTATATTGTATTACCAACGTTCGCATACGATGCTAAAATCCATAAACTTTCAATGTGTTAAATATATTTGCTTATATATATGTATATAAAAAAATCATTAGTCAACAATGTTTTTATTGCGTTTAATTTTGACCTGAACTGACGGTCACCGGGCTAACTACGACATCGGGACGTCAAACACCTCAGTCCCCCCTCTCACAACCATGGCTGCTGTAAAGCACCCGAAACTTCGGGAATTAAAAAGTCAAAATTAAACACGATAAAATCCGTACAATTGGTTTCATTTAATGTGCAGTGTTCGCGTAAATATAAGTCATAATGAGTTAATAGTTACATTTATCTTTACGAACATTTCGACAAAACGAGTTTTTACTATAGTGAAGTATTATAAAGCGTTGCATATGTTTAATATACAAAATAATACAGGGTTGGTATGGTATCCCTTCCCGCATGGATAAGGCTCACAATATTTATATATAAGTACCCGATATAAGGGCTTCACTCTCCCACATATTTCAAAAATGTGGCGCAGGCACTCCGTGTGCGGTGAGGGCCAACCAACAAACGCACTCCCCACGAAGACGGACGTTAAGTTGGGAACTGGACCGTAGTCCACAGCAGAATAACTGACGAACTAGTAAAATAAGGTTTGGCCACTTGGTAGTGCGTAAGCACAATCATTAACCGAAGCATCGTGCATGTCAATGCGTGTAAACGCCATACAAAATACGATGAAATCAAATCAAGCCACAGTGAATGTGCGTCACACGGTTTAGGCAACACGTGGAATAATAGGCACACTGGCCATAAATAAACCCTCCGTGACGCCACCACTTGCCAGACGTGATGTAAGTGTAGGCATTACCACCGATTGCATGGTCAGCACGGCTACTAGTCGCCTAGCGTGTCATGAGCTCATGAGTTCTAACCGCTCATCGCAAAAGAATGGGGTCACATTATGCGTTGCGCCGCTTTCATCCGCAGGTTTGTGCACCTCCTCAGTCTCCCCCTTGCTACCGCCCGCATGAGGTCGACACATACGAGTATGCTCCAACCAATACAACGGCAGATATAGCCAAAAGGCACTTATAAGATAATAGGAATAATTTGCCATCAGAAAGGGTTTGAGTCACCGACGTTGAGTATATGCATATTTCGATCATGTTTGTCTCACCCGCCTACGAATTGCCTTCAATCATTCAAAGGTGGAAAATTTACAGAGATATTTTATTATGTTGTTATTAAAACTCATGGAGATCATACCGTCTGCAGGCCTGTTATGAAGGGACCCGACTTGGGAAAAACTACTTTTAAGCAGAGGTTTAATAAATTTAATGATTTTTAAAGTCAATATTAAACCTTTACATTACTTAAGGTTTGAAATGAATGTATTTTATTAATGTTACTTTTTAGAAATTAATAATTATTCATAATAATGCGACCCTTATACCGATTTCCGTTCACAAATTATAGTGCACCCACTGCTGAGTTCCATTTAAAGGGCAAGACACAATATAATTACGAGTCGTCAGGCATTTCGTCTAAGTTTCCAGGGAAGATAACTGTGCTCTTCTTTGTTTGAAGTTAGATTCAGGTGTCCTATAAGTTAGTAATAAGTAATAAGCTGTATCTGTGTAATAATCTCTCCAATATTATAAAATCAAAAACTTAAATGAAAAAAATACATAAGAATAACTTATTCATTACTAAAAGCAATAACATTAAGAATATGTAATATTTAGGATAATACATAGGGGTTGCGCCCTAGAACCCGCTCCCCATTAAGCTTGTGGTCATAAATTCACTCTTACATTTATTGTTTCTATTGAGCGTCGCTCTGTCGCAATAAAATTCATTAATAACAAGTATTGTTGCTATAAATTGATATTAAATTTTAATTAAGATTTCATGTTCATTTAAATTAATATTTCAACATTATTCAAAAATATTTCTTGTTTAATAATAATAAAAAGAATACATAAAGGCATTGGTTGTCATAAATGTATATAGGTAGTGAAATAACAAATAACCATAATATAGGAACTATTTATTAATAACAAAACAATTACTATAATAAAGATATTAAAATTTAATTCGCAATCATCCGCTTAATTAAATACAATGATGTGTCTTACCTGGATTGAAGAGCACCTCCCGCCCTCCGGCGGTCAGCCGCCGTAGAGTCTACATCTCCTGAGGATGCCTCGTGTAGAGGCGAAACACGTGTCGTATTGTCGTCGATGGTGTGTGTTTCCTGGAATAGTGGTGTTGGGAGTAGTGGTGTTGAGTAGTGGTGCTGGGACTAGTTGTGACGGAATTAGTGCACGCAATTGAGGGAACAAGGTGGAGCACCGGGACCACGGTGGTCTTCAATCCAGGTAAGACACATCATTGTATTTAATTAAGCGGATGGTTGCAAATTAAATTTTAATATGTTTATTATAATGAATTTCCGCAAAGTAACGCCTGAGTCTATCAATTAAAACAATTACTGTTATAGATTGCCCCATACGGGGGATATTCTCCATAGTTGCCACGCTTGGCAAGCCGGTTGGCAACCGCAGTTTATTTTTTTATTTTTAGGCTATATTTGGAAGATGCTCTAAAGCCACTTACGACACCCACAGGATGATGTGGGATAGTGAATATTTTTACTCCGCCACTACGCAATAAACAAAACAAACTAATTGCTTTTATACGCGATGTAATTATTCCGAAATGAATTTGGTTTCTTAATTAGTAAATGGAATAAAAATATACGGATGATAATCAAGCTGATAAAAAACTATTACGTTAATTGACTTAAAAGTAGTCTAAATATAAAGAATAATTAATTTGAAATTAGAATCTCACTGAATTTGATCATTATATGGTGTCTAGTATTATTTAAACTATTATTTTGTTCAAAAGTATAATAAACTTTGAAAAAATAATTGCAGTTGCGTTTTTAATGGAATGAATGACCCTTACATTACTTAAGGTACTTATACAAACTTGATAAAAAATATTAAGCCTTACACAATAAAACCCACGGAGTACATTCACGATGATCGCTCGCGCCCACAATCACCCACAAACTTCCGCCCCGAAATTATCTTTTCATATCACGGGTCAAAACTTAAGACGTGGACCGGTCGGAGACAGCTGTGGGTCAAGATTACCGATGTAAATTATGAGCGGCCGCTGGAACCGGTTAGGGGCCATGCACTGACACTTACGTAAGCCATGTCGAGCACAGCGCGAGGAAGTCAGTCGAACTGCATCAGTACAAATGTTTATTAATATATGATCTTCACCCGCAAATTGGTATGCTTGATAAGTTTCAAGTTTATCTTTTCGGTATTACGGATACAAAATAAATAACCATCTCTCAAATGCATCCCTATTTTTGTAATGGAATTCATTTCTTACAATTACAATTTTCTATAGCATATAATAAAATTTTATAGCATGTAGTAAATTAGTTATAAACAATTTTCTTTTTGAAATAGAATTAGTTTACAAAGTTAACCAAGTATAACTTTGTTTAAAACTTGTTACACACATCGTTGTTATTGTGATAGGTAGTTACTATGGTAAACTTTCGTATTTTTAAGTTGTCTTGGTTTAACGAAACTTACAAAATTTAAGATGTTAAAAATGTTTCCCTCAGTGTATATTTATAGTAATCATATATATTTAAACCGGGTATTATTATCGTTATGGCGGTTGGAGATTTTTTACAAACGTTAGATATACATTATATCTATCCCCAGAACTTTAATGTCAGACACTCCTTCGCTAGGACACTGATTGTGAGATTTAAAAGTAGTAAAATAAAGTTACAGCCTATATACAGGTCTTTTCTTTTCTCAGAGAAATATTTAATTTCTCAGACAAGTAGATTTCACCGCCCAGCTAGCCAATAATAAATCACCACTTAAAATAGCAACTAACAACTTCATTGGTAACACGGCTCTTTGATGACTGTAATTAACTGAATATTATTCTTGAAACGGCATTGACAAAATAGTGTTTCTTCCGACTACTATGAACACCTGGCAGCTAGCAGCAACCCCCAATCATATTCTTATGTGATACAAATATGAAAAGTATGTGACATGAAAAATAAAAAAGAATTTTATAAAATTGATCGATTGGTTTAGATTAAAACAGCTAATTTTAAATCAACAAAACGACAAATTTTATTTTCCTGAATAGAATATTTTGTAAGAATAGTTTAAGTTTACAAAATCATGACAAACCCCATAAAAATTGTCATTTTCAAGTATCTATATAGATAGAGAAGTTTAATGATAACGCGACGTAA